ATCATTTCTCATGTGGCTGTGGTTGTCAAAACCGTTTTGGGATCCCATTTTGGTTGGTAGGTGAATTCACCACCCATTTTAGTCTACGGGATCCCATTTTGGGGTAGGTGAATTCACCACCCAGGTTTCCTTTTTTGGTTGGATTGAATCGGATGTTCACCGGGGCTCTGGGAGGGTGATTCGTGCAGTTTTTCTTCGAGAAACCGGTCGGTACGACCATCATGACTCCGCGTGCGGAGTCAGCATGCTCTTGCGTCTAGGGGTTGATTCCTTGACACACCGAGCGCTGTTTCGGTTCTGGGTTTCTGGAGATCCCTGGAAATGGGGAAGTGTCCCCCAGATTTGTGTCAAGAACCCATTCGTCACCCCCCCGGTGGATCGAACAATATATAGAGGCCTGTATAGTTGGGCTTGCCAAGGCCGCCTGAGATAAGAACCACCTATGACAGAGATGGGCAAAACGCCTGGGATCCGGGCAAGTTGACCTCCCCAATAATTAGCACATCCAGAAAGGCCCAAGCTCACTGTCCATTTGCTGAAATTAATATTTGTGTATTTAGAACCCCTGTTGGTTTTAAAGGGTTCTTTCACTGGATATATATATATAAAGAAAAATAAAACTTTTTTCCAGGGGTCTTAACCAAATGGAAGCACATCCTCACTTTCCATTTGTTGAAATGAACAGGGTAAAAGACGCCACCTGGAGGAGTTGGTAAACAGTGATCCCACACGGATTTGGGTGACATACCAAGGGTTGCTTAAGACGATGTTCTTATTTTCCCCTGTTGGTTTGACAGCGAATCTATCTCACAACTGGAAATATGTTCTCATTCTTTCCAGGGGCCGTTGACACACAAATGGATGATCACGCCTTCGAACCGGCGCCTTCGGCCTTGCGAGCGGAAGGGATCCAATCATTCTTTCGGATTTGGGAGAACGATTTGGGTCCGGGAAGTGGGGGGGGTTTCAAGAATGAGTACCTTTGTTTTTGCGGGCCTGGGTTTGGGGCCCGCCTTCAGAAGGGGTCTAAAAGGATCCGTTTTGACCACCCACCAAGTCCGTCCCTTCGGATTTGTTGGTTTCCTATTCGAGGCTTTCCGTTCGTATCGAAATTGAACAAGAAGGGGGAAAGGAGCCAGCTGCACCCAGGAGCCGTGAATCCATTTACCTTTGGTGACCCAAGACCAAAAGTTGAAAACCGCTGGTTGCAAGCCCTCGACCTAGAGTCTCCATGACCCATTTCTAAGGGGTCATGGAGACTCCAGGAACCAGATAAGGATATGTGGATCGATCCATTGGCTGCGATGTCCCATCCATGGTTCGTCTTTCCCTTCATTTCTGGGTACCTAAGATGCAACTGAGTCTTGGCTCGAAAAACAAAAGGAATTCCAACATGGGTTGCCCGATCGGCAAGTGGAAACATGGGTACCAAACCTGCGGTTTGCCCCTCCTGTTCAATTTTGAGCCGCACCCAACTGAGTTTTGGCTGTTCTCCTTTGGGTATGACTCAGCAGGTAACACCTGCGATCAGGCGTTAAGGCTGGTGAAGTTGCCGACGAATCGCCGACGCCGATCTCGGGCTACTAACGAGCTTCAGCAACAACCTGGACCCCCAAAAGCCCCCTTTGTATTGCCTTTGGCCCAGAGAAAAAGCGGTAGGCCAGAAAAAAGGAATCGTTCTTTTGGGGGTCCAGTTGGACAAGTCCTCACAAGAGGAAGGCTGAAGACCCCAGGATTGAAACCCTTGCCAGTTGGCATCCCTTCCAAAGCCATTCCAAACGGGACCCCGGCATTTACGTATGGATGTGTGTTTCAGGCTGTTGGCAACTGGAACGCACCCGGATTCAAATTTTCCGAAGGCGCCATGAAGGTGGATGTTCACTTGCCCAGCGGACATGGTTGCTCTGTAGACGTCTCACTGGAGACAACCATCAGCGAGCTGAGAGCTGCAGCTCAGCAGCATTTCCAGCGCCGCTTGAAACTAGCTGCAAACGGCCGGCAGCTCGATTTGACAGCCACGCTGAGTGAGGCTGGGCTGCAAGATGGGGATGTAGTGGCTGCTGTCGTGCAGCTTGGCAAACTGGCTGTCACAATAAACGCATTTGCTTGGCATAGCCATGGGGGCGAGGTTGTGACCTGGGGTGATCCAGACTGTGGCGGAGACAGCAGCCAGGTGCAAGAGCAGCTGAGGAAGGTTCAGTGCATCCAAGCAACTGCCCGTGCTTTTGCTGCCATTCTTGAATCCGGCGCGGTTGTGACCTGGGGTGATCCAGATTACGGCGGAGACAGCAGCCAGGTGCAAGAGCAGCTGAGGAGCGTCCAGCACATCCAAGCAACTGCCGATGGTGCCTTTGCTGCCATTCTTGAATCTGGCGATGTTGTAACCTGGGGTCATGCACATCGTGGAGACAGCAGCCAGGTGCAAGAGCAGCTGAGGAGCGTCCAGCACATCCAAGCGACTAGGGCTGCTTTTGCTGCTGTTCTTGAATTTGGGGCTGTCGTCACCTGGGGCAACGCAGGCTGGGGCGGAGACAGCAGCCAGGTGCAAGAGCAGCTGAGGAACGTCCAGAGCATCCAAGCGACTGATTGTGCTTTTGCTGCCATTCTTGAATCTGGCGCTGTTGTGACCTGGGGCTGTCCAGCATCTGGCGGAGACAGCAGCCAAGTGCAAGAGCAGCTGAGGAACGTCCAGCACGTCCAAGCAACTGCCGACGGTGCTTTTGCGGCCATTCTTGAATCTGGGGCTGTTGTGACCTGGGGTTGTGCACAATACGGCGGAGACAGCAGCCGGGTGCAAGAGCAGCTGAGGAACGTCAAGCACATCCAAGCAACTGACGGCGCTTTTGCTGCCATTCTCGAATCTGGGGCTGTTGTGACTTGGGGTTGTGCAGATTACGGCGGAGACAGCAGCCAGGTGCAAGAGCAGCTGAGGAGCGTCCAGCACATCCAAGCAACTGCCGATGGTGCCTTTGCTGCCATTCTTGAATCTGGCGATGTTGTAACCTGGGTTCATGCACATCGTGGTGGAGACAGCAGCCAGGTGCAAGAGCAGCTGAGGAACGTCCATTGCATCCAAGCGACTGATTGTGCTTTTGCTGCCATTCTTGAGTCTGGGGCTGTTGTGACCTGGGGCGCTTGGGAAGATGGCGGTGAGAGCATTCATGTACAAGAGCGCCTGAGGAACGTGCAGCACATCCAAGCCAGTCATGGTGCTTGTGCTGCCATTCTTGAATCTGGTGCTGTTGTGACCTGGGGTTATTTTGAGTATGGCGAAGACAGCAGCCAGGTGCAAGAGCAGCTGAGGAACGTCCAGAGCATCCAAGCAACTCGCTTTGCTTTTGCTGCCATTCTTGAATCTGGGGCTGTTGTGACCTGGGGCGATCCAGAAACTGGCGGAGACAACAGCCAGGTGCAAGATCAGCTGAGCTCTGCAATTTCTGTTTGATTGGTTTTCCTGCCCGCTGCAAATCCATGTGCCTTCAAGCGGAACCCCGCGAACGGTGAACGCCTCCGTTGGATTCAGCGTCCAAAGTGTTGCTACGAGAAAAAGGGGTTGGGGGCCTTCCGCCAGTGCGTTGCGATGCGAACACTTGAGAATTTTGAGGAGGGCTATCGTCTAGTAGGTGTAGTGCCCGTTTAACCTTTTTTTGGTGAGGGTTCCCCTACTAAAATACACTACAGAAAAAGTTGGTACCCTTATTCTATCCTCTCTACTGGAGGACCTCGTCTATCTGGGCTGTTCAAAGGTACTCCTTAATTTGCGGAAGTGGTTTTCCGGTCCCCTTTCTAGTGGCTTCCCTATGAGGCAAATCGGATTGGAAGCAAACCATTTTGAACAGCCCAGGCTTTGCCGCCCAAGGGAACCCGAAGGTTGAGGTGTCGGTCCGGCTTGCCACTGGGGTTGGGTTCCCATTTGGGAACCCGTTGGTTTTGAAGGGAAGCCAAAAGGAAAACCCCCCTCAAACGAGGGGGGGCCTCCCTAAAGAAAGATATGGTTGGGTTGACACAACTGCCCCGCACCCCCCAAGTTCTGTGCTTGTCAGAGATTCGTGTCCTTCCATTTGCCTGAGAACATTTCCATGTTGTCTTGGTTGTAAAGGGCAATCATTGCTGGAGCTACTCTTTTTCCAGACGAACAAGCCAATTGGTGTGTCTCAAAATAGGATTTGGAACCCCCAAACATGGCTTCGGTTTTCCTTTTGGTTTCCCTTTCAAACCAAAAAAGGTACCAACTCAATTAATCCGAGGAGCCCCCACATGGATGGGACGAAAACAAGATCCGGGTCCTGGTTTGCTTGCTGGTGCTCAGTATTGCTCAGCACGGAATGTGGGAATGACTTGAGAGGTCCCCTTAAAGGGAACCACGAGGAAACAACAACTTGCTGGTCCCCTTAAAGGCACGAACCCAGAGGTCCCCCTTAGGGATGATTTCACTGAGGTTCTTGCATTTACTGAGGGTTTTTTTCCGGAAGGTTTATTGGGAATCTTGCATTTTCTGAGGGTTTTGTGGTTACTTCGTGCTCAGAAGAAAATGGCCCAGACTTTTGGGAATGCACCGGAAGGGGACTTCCTCAAAGGAAACCATCAGCAGTTGGATGGTTTACCTTGGGCTCGTTCCATGTCTCAGGGTATCGCAAGAATTTGAGGCCGACCTCCTCAAAAACAAAACGTCCTATCGCAGCACATGGATGGGACGAAACAGCCTCTGGCTCAAAAAAATAAAACAAACATGGGCAAACCGCAGGTGGTGTTTTTGTCTTTTCCATTTACCTTTCGGTGCGATTTTGGAACCTGGACCCTCAAGCTACCCATAGAAATGGGATTTCACCCACCATTTTGTGGGGGGTTGCTCTAACTCCCATTTTTTAGGTTTGGCAAATTGAGGGTCATGTTTTTCACCCACCAAAGTTTGTTGGGTTGCTCTAACTCCCATTGTTTAGGTTGATTTGTTTTGAGGCTCCGGGTTCCCACTTTTTTTTTCCCGGCCGCCGCCCGAGGCCATGCCCGCCATGTCCAAGATCTCCCTCTGCGCGGGCGCCGCCTTGGCAGCCACAGCCTTCGTGGCGCCGTCCACGCCGGCGACGAAGGTCGCCAGGCGGGGCATGGGATGGATGCAGAGGGGGGGGGGATGGGGTGCCCGCAGCCCCGAAAGGCCAGATTTTTTTTTCGGTCAGAAGGCGTATTTGGCCGTTTGACCGGGTTTTTCGGGCTTTTGGCCTTTTGACAAAAAGAGAAGCAGCCTTTTGGGGCACCAGGCGCTTGGTGCGGAGTGGGGTGGTCCGAACTGTACCCAAAAGTTCCTCACTTTTAGCAGCTCCAAACGGACTTCTCAGCTATTTTCAAGCTCTCACATCTTGAGGGCCTTTCGCCTAAAGAGAACTCCCCTCCCAACCTCTCCAACTTGCTCTGCTCCCAAGCCTTTGTTTCCCCCTCCCGGAGTTTTGGAGCCCCCACCAGAGCTCTTACCTTCCATCTGCTGAAAAACATGGTTCTGTATGTTCTTTTGTTGGTGTCCCAGGGAGTTTGTATACTGTAAATAGTTTCTCCCCTCTAAGCGAAAATCCTTTAATTTTAAAGGGTCAAATGGGAAAACCTGGTTTTTGGGCAAGTTTTGGAAAAATAAAGGTTTTCCAGGGAACAACCTGGTATTTCACTTACATCCTTTATTTTGGCACTTTTCGCAAGCAAAATGTCGGATGTTTGAAGAACAAAGCAAAGGTGCCGGATCTCGAGCAGGTGTTGAAAGGAGCCGCCAGGTTTCTTTCACTGCCAAATTGTATATTGGGTTTCTAGATGTGTTTTTGGAATCTCTTGTTTCCTTTTGTACCGCCAAGTGCGCGATAGCCCCCTGCTCCTCAAGATTGGAGCTCAAAAGGTGGGGTAGACTTCAGGGCGTGGTCAGCCAAAACTCAAGAATGAAGCGGGACAACCAGCTTGAATGTACAAGTGTGCAGTTCGCTACATGACCATCAGTAGCTCTGCGTGATTGAGACATCATGCTCAAGCATGGTACTTCTTTTGTATTTTTTAAAACATAATGCAGTATCCCAAAGTGGCACTTGCATTTGTTACTCGGCTCGGCGCACAAGCCAAATGCCAACAAAGCTGGCCTCCGCCTAAGTCGCACTTTCTTCCAGCACCCAGAGACTCCTCATAACTTCGATTCGATGGGAAGCACAGTCCAAGCCAAACATGTTGCGTAGTACGTGTTTGTGCCCGAAAACCTTCGGACGTTCTACCGCAATGTCATACAAAACCAGTTCGCTGCTCGCGCAATCTAGCTGTGTGCCGGCTTTTCTTTGCTGGAAAGCTTCTGGAAGGGCGAGCGCGTGCGAAAAAAAAGGAAACCCATAAAAATCCCATACAAATCCCATAAAAAAATCCCATACAAACCCATATTTTTCCGAAAGCCCGGTTTTTCCTAACCCGTACAAAAACCGTACAAATCCCATAAAAATACCGTACAAACCCGTACGCGATTTATGGGATTTTCAGCCTCTGCTGAACAGCTTTCCAGGCCCGAGTTGCCCGAAATAAGCTTGCAAAGTGACCCGGCGAAAAGCAGTCATTCATGTGTTCGTCCCACGCGTCTTTTACTACCTGCTGTCCAGTGTTCAAAGTGGGTTATGTTCTTTTGGCTCGCTCCGGAAATGATGTTCCTGCGACGTTTAGACAAGCCTGCGAGAAGCTCCGGGATCAATGCTTTAGCACGGGACTTGGTTGTCAAACAAGTGAGCATTTGCAAGACGGCCCTCCAGACGTATCCGACGCGAGCTTTACGCAAACAGTCCCAAGCAGATGGCTCAGTGCCATACACAATATGTATACACGTGCAGCTACCGCTTGCGGTAAACTGGGACTACTTGTTGCCCTTGTCAGAAAGTTCATATTCCAACGCTGTTTTAAACTTCCCGAGCCACGATCTGGGAAGCCTTCCCAACAAATTGCGGATTGACCATTGTTTCGAGTTCAGCAGGTAATTTGCAACAGGTGCCATGCTCAATGAGCTTGCTTGGATGGGATTGCTAGGCGGCCGTGGAGCGTTTAACTGGATGTAAGAGAGCCAACAAAAGGATTATATTGAGGGAACCACAATCATAACTCACGCAAGACCATTCTGATTACAACGCAAAAAGTAAAAACCCGGTATTTCCTGGAAAAACCTGGATATTTTGCCATACCTTTAAAATAAACGGATATTTGCTTAGAGGGTCATCTTTGTTTAGGGGGTGAAGCAAATGGAAGACTAGTAGTGGCTTAAATAGCCATCGGCCCGCAATGGAACGTGAAATGTAGGCTCAAACCTGAGGTCTGCCGGCTCTTACAATTGGAGCCACGCCCAAATCAAGTAGGGATACCTTCCCCATTCTTTCCAGGGATCCTTTTTTTCTAGAAAACCTCCGGACACCCAGCGAAAACGGCTGGTTTTTGAAAAGAACGATGTTTGAAAAGAATGGGGAATCACCCCCTAGAATGAGTGTGAGTTTGCCAACTACAACCTTTGTGAGTTTGCAGTCTTAACTTGCCCAGGAGGATACTATGTATCCTCTAGCTGCGCGAAATGTCTCAGAATCGGGTAGAACCCGGTTTGGGATGGTAGAAAAATAGAACAGGAAACGACCACGAAGGCGCTAAGCCATGTCTTCAAACCTGTTCCAAGGGAGCCCTCAACGTGTGGAAACTATGAGCCCTTGTAAAACCAAACCCTAGGAGCCCCTTGGACCCAAGAACCTCAAATCAGGTCCAAGGGGCCAGAGAAAGTTTGGATTCTCCTTCCCCAGAATTGGCTCCCCCTTTTACTTTTTCGCTTTTTGGGGTCCCTTTTGTTTTCCACCTTTTCCAGGCAAATATATATGTATACATATATATATATATATTTGCTGGGGTCCCCTTCTTCCAGCCTAGTTTCATCCTCAACCTGATCTCTCTTTGTTTCTCCGATTCGCCGGGCTCGCGGGGCTCGCGGCAGGGCCGGCAGGTAAGACGTGTAACTACGGAATCCGACTGTCGGCTGACGTTGGTATGGGTTATGACTCCCTCAAAAGGTCCCCAATTCAAGCTCACCCTGTCATTCGTGGCTTCTCACCCAGGCTAACCGCTGACTAGCTTGGCTGGCCGAAAATCCACGTACTACCCCTCAAACCGCCCACCCACAGAAGTTTTATGGGATATGCAGCCACTTTGCACATGGAAAGCCTCGTTTTGTTCGGGGGAAAGTGGTTGGCAGCTAGTAGCCTGCTTGTTTGCATTGCCTCAGACTTAGGGCCAACCAGCGCTGCTTTGCCCAAGGTGTTGGACCAATGGCAGAATCCATTCGCCCATGTTGTTTCTTCTTCACATTTTGCCCAAGGCTCAGCCAAATTCATGTCAATTGGCCAAGCATCAGCGAAATTCATGTCAGTTGCACCACATGGTTGCCGACGACGTTTTCACGGGCCCACCTTCGGTCCCCGGAGTCACGGGCACAAAAGTGCCTCTCCCACCCGCGACGCCCTCCCGGGCCTGGATGACTACTCCTTGATGTCCTTTTTGGACAGTTGCACTGGCAATTCATAACTTGGTGGCGCCCAACCATCCGGTTCAACTTAGGCTTTTAGATCTTTTTCGTTGGTGAAAGGTGGTTGGGTCTCAACGAATTCCAGCCAGAGGTTACTCACTTTTCGCGGATCAGAAAACCGTCCAGAGACCTAAGTCCAGGGACGTAGCTTGTTTGTTTCCATTTGCTTAAGAATATGTTTCATTTGCACCTGTCGGTTTTAAAGGGAACCTATCACTAGTGGACACATGTTTTTTTCTCTGGAGACTTAAGCAAATGGAACAGGGGTCCCTATATTTCCCTTTTTGGCTGTTTCAAACATATATATTTTTGGCGCATAAAAGGTGAGTATCCCTTGGTGGTGATGTTTGGGTGTGGCTCAAAATTAAGCGATCGGAGGGGCAAACCGCAGGTTTTGGTCCGTGTTTCCACTTACGAGGGCAGCGATTTCCATTTTGGAATTTCCCGGGATTTTGAGCCACAGCCAAATGTTATGCAACTATTCTGCCCGTGGTATGTCGACCCTCTACTAAAAAAGGAGGTCACCAGGTTTTTCAAGAAGTACCAACCAGAAAAAGCCCGGGTATTTGGAGACTTCAGCAAACTTGCAAGTGTTTGAGCCATCTAAAAGTTCCGTGTTTTTTTTCAGAGCCGCCATTTTTCGGCCTGAGCAACTTAGGCCTTTTGTCAACGGCCGTAAACACCCCGTAAAAAGGCCGTAAAAAGCCCGTAAAAAACCTCCGTGTTTAAACGGCGTCCGTAACTCAGGCCTTTGGACTCCCTGGGAGAGCAGCCATTTTTGAGCATCCCTTGGTGATGTTTTTTCGTGGAAATCTCGGGAGCCCCGTAGAAGTTCAGAGCAGCCCGAAGCTCAGGGAGCACCTCCGGGCCGAGCAGCCCCGGGCAGGCGAGACCTTGGCGACCCGAGCGGTGCTTGGCGCCGTGTTTTTTGGGGTTTGCCTGGAGTCTCCCTAAGGACCCTTGGAAAAGAATGGTCTCACTTCCTGAGTTCATGAACTTTAAACTTTTTGGGAAGAACCGTTTAGTGGTAGATTTGATATTTTTTTTGGGCCATCCACTCAGCAAGTGAGTGGTGGGTCAGACTACCCAACATGGGGTGGACCCGATTTTAATTCGGGGCAGAGGGAGACTCCAGGTTTTTTGTTTGTCGTAAGGGGCCAATCCTGAAGCCAAACTGAGTATTCAAGGCTTGCTGTTGGCCATTCCTTCCTTTAACCACCAAACAGGTACCCTCCCTCCAACAATCCTGGAAGCTGACAGGACGGTTTTGGAAGACGATGTGCCTTTTGGGCAACTCAGTCTGCTTCCATGATTGCTGGAAAGAGGGTACCCTAACTTGTTGGGGCTCGGCAGGGAATGACCCAGGCTGTTGGCAATGAACTTGGGGTTCCCTCAACGGATGGTTTATGGCGTTCATTCCATTTCTCATTCCCTGCTTATCGAACCATCAAGCTAATTAAGATTTAAACATGAAACATTGACAATCCCATTAGAGCCAGCTAGCTAAGAAAGAACAATTGACAACCTGGACCCTCAAACTACCCTTAAAACGGGGATTCAACAATCATAAATTGTGGGTTGCTCTAACCCATGTTTAAGTTGGAATTGTCAGGGTTCCGGTGTTAAATGTCTATTTATTTCGGTTGCTCAAGCCCATTTTCGAGTTGGAGTCTTGGAACTCACCAACCTTAAGCGGGATCCACCAACCTTAAAAAGGGATCCACCAACCTTAAAAAAGGATTCGCCAACCATCAAAAATGGAATTTTGTTCACTAACCCTATGGTTTTTTCTTCGGAGCTCCTTTCACATCACCGGCAGGCGGCCTCAGCACCGGGCTCACGGTGACGGCGGGCCTCGCGGCCGTGGCCGCCGCCGCATCGGCACGCCCGAGGCGTGGGTTTGGGGCTTGCGTGCGGGGCGGGGGGGGGGGGTTTCACACTTATACCTGGAGTCTCCATGACCCGAAAGAAAAATGGGCCCATGACCAACCATTATTTTGGTATGCTCCAGGCTGGGAAGACAAAGGGAGACAAGGCGGCGGCAACCCGCTCAGGCGAGTATGAAGCGAGACAAGGGCAGAGAACGGGAGACAAAGGGAGAGAAAGTCTTGATTGGTTCGTGGTTGTTCGAAATTCATATCCCTTAAGGGGTGATTGCGTAAAACAAACAAGCCATATTTCTTGTGCCAGATGGTAGAAGATGGGAGGGAGCGCACAGTTAGAACCCCTCGCTTACTCCCTGAAAAATGCTTTGATTGAAGGCAACTAGGGCTGCTAACCATTTGCAACACTGTCCAAAGCCATCCAAGGAACATGCTGGCAAAGGTCCACTGGGTCCACATACTGGGTCCACATGGCTTGAAATGCAACATGGAACATGCCCAAAATTTGTTGCGAGACTTTTCCAAGCTCTTTGAATATTCCTTCTTGGTTTGGGAGAGATCATCCAACTGGTTGCAAGGCTATAGTTGGTTCTTGCTGGAGTCTGTCAACATATCCAGATTTGTTCCCTGCAAAAACCAGGGTGCTCTCTAATTCTCCATGTCAAGTAGCGCAACAGTAACCCCCGTTGTTTGAAGAGTTGATCTTCTGCTCATTATTTTTTTTTGGGGGGGGTCCCTTTGTTTGTCCCATTGCAAGTGGTTCATGTTGTATTTCAGCATTCTTTGTCACATGTTTTGTTTTCTCGATTGTCGTCGACTGTTTTACCTACCTGAACTCTGAAACTTCCAACTGAAACATGGGAGTTATAGCAACCCAAACTATGGTTGGGGGATCTCCCTTTTTGTAAGTTGGTAGTTTCTTCGGGTCCAGGTGTACCCCGGGCCATTTTCAAGCTGGATAAGACACACCCGGGGGATCAATCCATCCATCCGTCGATCACCGAGGCCTACGGCGGTCCGCGCCTATGATGCCTCCAAGGCGGGAGTCTGCCATGATCAACGGAGCTGTGACAAACAAGGCATACCAGGGATACGGGATGTGGACATATCCCTAGGAGCCCCTGCAAAGTGGGGTTGGGTGGAAGATGGTAGAAGAAACTCGCGGGGATGCCAGGAACAGCGAACATGTGTTGGAGGTTTCCCAAGGAAACCATGTCTTTTCGCTTACCCGACTTAAATACCCTAGGAGCCACGAGGTTTCAGGGTTGGTGTTTTACATGGCTTGTCACAGGGTGAAATGATTTCAGGTTGGTGAAATCCGTAACAGTGGCTCAAAGCCATTACACGGAGTTGTTAAACCTTGCAGGGTTGGTGTGACCGAATCGAAACATGTACTAAAACGTCCCCTCGGTAAATGGAACCCAAGACTACCTGCGGTTTGCCCTAGCTCTTAAATTTGGAGCCACACCCATTTCGGAAAACAACAACATGTGGCTTCACCATCAAACCTCCTGCGAGAAGTTTCTTGGCTGAGTTCTCCAAGGGCGTGAAAGGCCTACCAGGTACCCCTTCAAGTACTCCCGAAGGAACGGCACTGTTGGGATCCCAGGTGCAACCGTTTTTTAGTTTGGAAAGTGACCTAACCTGCTGTTGAACTGTTGTCCTCTTCTAGGTCCCCCAGCTAGGTGCCCTTTCTCGCCCCTTTTTGGTTGGGAGGGTTCCCCTACTAAAGTTGACTACAGAAAAAAGGGTGCCTTTATTCAAACCTCTCTACTGGAGGACCTAGTTTTCCTGTGGGGCGTTTCTCCGAATTTGTGTGCCATAAAACATGCGTGGTTTACTTGTGGTTTCCATCCCGAAGGGGGGGGGTTTTCTCCACCATCTTGAGAAAAAGCGCCCATAGCTTCATTGTCAGTTTGCCTTTTCCGCTGTATTGTCGATTTGGGCTCCGATCCGAACGGCGATGTTCCGATTGGGATCCGATCCGTTCGGCATGGCCAGCTAAACGAGGACCCACAATGTGACTTCTGTCAGGAGCCCAGGTTGGTTGACATCGATGCACAATCTGCATATATATCTATATACATATATATATGTATATATATATATATATATTAATATATATTATATATTTTATATTGCACATTTAGAGGCATCTTCAGCGAATGGCCCTCCAGAGCTCGTCAGGAGATCGGCGCCTGCGATCCCTTGCTCTTCTGGGATCCCATTGGCTTCTCGGAATTCCGATCGGCGACGTAAGGAGGGTATTTCACGTGGAAAGTACCTGGGCCCCCAAAGGACCGATCCCTTTTTTCTGGCCTTGTACTGCTTTTTTCTGGGTCAAAGGCAACAACAAGGGGTCTTTTGAGGGGTCCGGGGGCCCTCCACAAGTGGTCTGAGCGTCAGACCCCCAACCTTTTGGACCCAGCGCAAAAAATCAAGCAGGGCTTGCTCGAGCCATGGTTCAATACCCTTTTCCAGAAAGCCGGGATGAGCTGTGACGGGTTTCTCCCTGGAAGCTGAGAGACGAAGACTTTGGTTTCGGGGAGCTGCCCAGTGATTTCCACGATTGGAGGAGTGACGTGATACCTGGCACAGATGCAGAACAGCAAATGAATGGCGCTGTTGGCACAAGACAGCTGATGCGGACTTCGCATTCTCGTGTTTAGGGAGGTGTCATTCTCTTACATTCACTTCCATTATAAGAATATTGTTCATTTTCACCTGTCGGAGTTAAAGGGAGCCTATCACTAGTGAAAATATTGTCTTATTTTTTTCCGGAGACTTAACTAGGTCCTCCAGTAGTGCCCTTTTTCCACCTTTTTGGGGGTGAAATTCCCCTACCCAAATAGACTACAGAAAAAGAAAAAAAAAAAAACGGTGCAAATGGAAGTTCAGGTCCTGAGAGGATCTCCGAGCTTGGGATACTCCTCACTTCAGCTTCGCCGCGTCCGAGGCTACTGCCAGGGCGACTGCACGAAGCAGGACTTTGACCGCCGCCGCGCGGTGGAGCTGAAGCACGGGCGCATCTGCATGTTCGCCACCATCGGCCAGGGACCTAGGGACCTACAAACCTCGGCCGGGCAGGCATCCATTCGCTTAAGAATATGTTTCATTTTCCCCTGTTGGTTTTAAAGGGAATCTATGTCTACTGGAAATACATATTATTATTTTCCCCTGCTGGTTTTGTTCAGGGAATCTATGACTACTGGAATCATTATTATTTTTCCAGGGGGCGAAAACGCAAATGGAAGTGGCGTGTCTTGAAAGGGAAAGCCTTGGGGTGGAAAGACGACGTTAACCAAGATATGTCCAGAATCGATTCCCTTGGAAAAGCAACATGGCAAACAATAATACAGGGCTCCTTAAAAGATACATTTTGCCCATTTGAAACATGGCTGTTTCCGCGGGAAACCACCATTTACACGGCAATGTTCAGGTGTATAATGTAAGGATCCCTGTAATAATCATATGTTTAACCGAAGAGAAACAAACCGCAAACACAATGTCAGCAAGTGGACTGTACCTGGAGTCTCCCTAAGCATGACCCCATTATTTGGGGTAATAACCCCAGTTTTAAAGGGTCATGGGGAGACTCCGGGTAGACGAACTATGAAGCATAATCTGTCACGTTATATTATATTGTTGGAGGAGGATGTGGGTTACGATCAGGCGCCCGTCAATCATCCGGTCCCCGAAATATTGCAAGCATTCCGAAGGAGAATGTGGTTTTAGGATGCAATTCTGTGATATATGTTCAGAAAGGGTTCCTAGGTCCCCCAGTAGTGCCCTTTTACCCCTTTTTTGGGGGAGGGTTTCCCTACTAAAATAGACAGAAAAAAGGGTACCCTTATTCTAACCTCTCTACTGGAGGACCTAGGTTCCTTTGGCAGCCTTAAGGAACCCCCCCGAACCGGACCCGTCCCTTGGCAGCCCTCTGGTGGACAACTGCAAACCCACTCCGGCTTCAGCATTTGGATTGAATTCTCAAACCCCGGGGTGGGGTGAATGGGTGGGTGGGTGCGTGGGTGGGGGGGTGGGGTGGGTGGGGGTGGGTGGGGGTGAGTGGGGGGGGGGGGGTTGGTCGTTATTTTCTTGGTGGTGGCTCAACCAGCCATCCAATTCCTTAGCGTTTTAGATCATTGAAGTTGGTTTAGTGGTTGGATTTCCGAATTTCACCCACTAAAAGCTAAACTTTCAGCGGGGGATCTGAGGACATGCCAGTTTTGGTTTGGCTTTACCAAAGCCATAACCTCAGGTTCTGAGGCCCCGAAATCTGGCGATATGGCCAAGAGAGGGAGCAGCAATGGCTCCCCTTAACATGGTTGTTGGGACACATTTTACATTTTTGCTTGTTGTGGTTTAGTGGGAAACCCCCACTTAACTGCTTTTTTTTTGTTTGATCCCCTTCCAATGTCCACCAAGTTAAACGCTCTATGACCCGTATCTACCCTTAAGCAACGGGGTCAACCACTGGGCTCGCAAAGACACGCCCACGTGCCCGCATGAGGTTCATCCGCGAGTTGAAACTTCTGAAAGGGGGCCCTCGCAGCCCAAGTTGTTGCGCGAAAAGTTGCCTCTCCCCTCCCAGTGTTTGGTTTCGTGGCCGCTTTTCTCACTTCCCAAGGGTTTGAGGTCTCCCAGCTAGGTGCCCTGTTTGACCCCTGTTTTGGTTGGGAGGGTTCCCCTACTACAATAGACGACAGAAAAAGTTGGTACCCTTATTCTGTCCTCTCTACTGGAGGACCTAGGTACAAGAGTCAAGGGGACCCAATTTGGAGGAGGACAATCCTGAAGGGATCAAACGCGGATCACCTTTAATTTCTGGGTCCCTGCGGGGCAAGCGAGATTCTTTTCATCCATCTTTGTCTTTACTCATTTTCCGAGGGGTTGGCGGATTTTGCAGAGAAGGAATCTAAAGAGGATGCAGGTACTTGTACAGCTAGAAATAGGGCAACCCCTTTAGTTTCCCTCGTACCAGTTGCAAGCGAACAAGTGGGATGCTGGGACAAACTATAACCATGGAAAGACTCCAGGTAGTTCAACCTTGAACTGCGAATTCGAACCCCCCGTTTCCTCCTGCCAGCCAAAAAGGAAAGGACAACGCACGCGAACCAAGCAAAAGCTACGGAACAACGAACGCGGAGTGTTTTCTGTTTCTGGGAATCCTGGGAGCCCAAGACCCTGATTCTGTGGGCCAATCTTTTTCCCCGAAGCCTCAAATAATGAGGTCCAAGGGCCCTGATTGTAGTGGGAGAATTGTCGTTTAATGCAGACATTATGCCAATTTCAGGTGTTTTACCTGCGGGCTTCGTGCTACATCTGAAGATAAAGAAGTTATTTGCCCGTATCTTCCCCAGAATTAGCTCCCCTTTTGCTTTTTTGCTTTTTTGGGGTCCCTTATTTTTCCACATATTCCAAGCAAAAAGGATTCATTTTTTTGCTGGGGTCAACTAATTCCAGCCTAGATATGACAATGCCAAAGAAGCTCAATGGTGGGCAAAGGCGATATTTCTCTCGGCCGAGGCATGCTGTGGCCAGATCTGTGCCCGCCTCAGAGGTTTTTGTTTGAGGTGGGGGGATTCAGACGTTTGCTTTTTTGGGTGTCCGAACTCTCCCCCGCAAAAAGGGGTAAGGAGATGTGTCCTTAGGGTAAATTGGTCAACAAAAAGATGGGTTACTCTGGTTAAGATGCAGATTGCCTGCCCGACATGCACCAGGATGCATCGCATGAAGAGCCTGGCGACGAGGAGGCTCCGCATGGGGATGAACCCCCTCCTGTACGAGAGCCCTGGGCCACGCTGACAGAACAGGAACGGGAGAAAAGGGAGCGGGTGCAGCTGGCCAGAGATCAACTCCCTACGCATCCATGGGTTAATCGCATTGACGCAACCCCTGATGCATTGCGTCGCAATGTCACGGAGGCGCCGGAGAACACGCATGCATCCGCAGGCCGAGAGGAGGAACCTCCGCAGCCCGCTCCGCATATGCCGCCCCTCCCATGGGTTTTATTCCACTACCAGGGCCATCTACCCCTTACACCCAATACCAACTTTTTTAGGGTATCATGTAAACCCTCTACTCAAAAAGGAGGTATTTACCATGGAAAACCATGTTTTCAAAAAATACCCTACACAAAATATGTGTGTGGAGTAGGGCCATCCATTTTCCCACAAGGCATCACCTATGGAGGTAGGGATATGTAGGGACTCTGCACAGGTGCAAAGCAAGGCTAATTGTGTAAGGCTGTTTTTGGGGCTTGTTATGTCAGAATCAGTTTTTTGGGGCTTGTTATGTCAGAATCTGGTTTGTGGGGCTCGTTATGTCAGAATCTGTCTCCAAGGTCGGCTTTCATCATGCCGTACACTTACCTGTTGGGTTTGAGAGTTGTCTAAAATCGGTTGGCGCCGCTTAATTGGTTGTTGGGACATAGATATGGGTGGCTCGCTCTTTTGGCTGTTTCCAATTTTGGTTCAAAAAGGAACGGGCCTCCGAAATTCTGACTTCCCGAATCGGACTCTGAACTTTTTGGGAAGACCATTTTAGTGATACGCAAACATTTTGGACTTTTTGTGGGCTACCTGCTCAGGAAGTGAGAAAAGTTGTAGAGCCCTCTGTGGGTGTTGATGGGGAACTGTTTGGCTGGCGCTTAGGGACGAGCAAGGGAACGGGGAAGGGCCGTGTGAACCCCCTTTTGGGATTGATTTTAAGGGGTAACCAAAATGAAGACCAAAAACCTAAAACAAGCACCCACATCTCTGTTTATGCACAACTTGGACAACCTAACACTCAAAGAACCAGATTTCATCGGTCCCTTAACACTCTACATGAGGATGTTTTGGACACTTGTTGACCAAAGCGATCTTTTTGCGCAGGCCGGCGGGTTGTCAAAGCTGTTTCCCCACTCAGTGAGGAATCGCTCAGGTTCGCAGAGCTCTGATTCACTCGGAACCCCGCCCGATTGCAGCTTCTGATTTGGGGAAATTCAACGACGACCCGTGAGGGAACTTCGGGTGTCATCCTCAAGGATCTCTCGACCCGAAATACATTTCCAGACAGATCTTCCTGAACCCTCAAACTACCAACTTTAAGGGAATTCACCAACCATAAATGTGGGGTGCTATAATTCCCATGTTCAAGTTGGAATTTTGAGGGTCCAGGTTGCCGCTTGAGCCTTTCGCCTTCGGTTTTCCTTGGTTTCCCAGCAAAGAGCTGTAAACCCAGTGGCAACCAGTGCATGTTGCTTCCTCGGTTCGACTTTTTTGTTCGATTCCTTTAAAGTCAACCGACCAAAAAGGATTCTTTGTTTCCCATGGAAATCCACTGGGGGCAGATCCGACGCATATCCCTGAGTTTAAACAAGAAACAAAGACACGAACCAAGAAACAACAGCTTCTGCAGGGGGCAGATCCGTTGTGCAACCAGAAAACCACGGTGTTTTTTTTCCGAACTCACAAAAGCCCAAAGCAAGTCGATCTGAATTGATCGGATCTGATTTTCACTTTGTGGGCTGAAATTATGGTTGCTTATTTCCCCTGTCTATCACAGTTGGAAATATGTGTGTTGTTTCATGGAGGGGCTTAAGCAAATGGAGGTTTAGTGCCCCCAAAAGGTTGACCTGTTATTCCTGGGTCCTTGCCCTTATGATGAACCAAGATTTGCCTCCTACATTCGACTAGCTAAAAAAGAAGTGGGTCCCGGACCCCCCCCCACCAATTCCCCTCCCCCTCTATCGCGGGGGGGGGGGATGGAAATTCACCAACCGAAATTTGGGTTTGCCACAACCCATTTTTTAGTTGGGATTTTGAGGGTTCAGATACTTGTTCCTTTACCAGGGTTCCATGATAACCCCTATTTGGCTGTGGCCCAAAACATGGCACCTTCGCATATGGAAACAAAGACTAAAACCTGCGTAACCCGAGGAGTTGCATTTTGAGCCACACCTTTCATTGCAGAAAAGAAACGGTTTATTTTCCCTGTTGGTTTTAAAGGGAAAGGATTCACTGCTGGACTTTTGTTTTCACTTGGGCTTAAGCAAAATGGAGGTTTAGTGCCCCAAAAACTTGAGCCTTTGTTTTCCCCGCGGTGTTTGTTTTTTCAGCCAATGGAAGGTTTTCCATTGGGCCGATTCCTATTGAGCCACACCAGAGTCAACGAGTCAAAGCGCCGCCTGCCGCCTCGCTTCGTCGAAGCCTCGAACGTCGGCCTCGAGGTTCGGAAAGTTCGATGGTTACCTCTCGCCTTCGCAGAACTTGACGCTCGACGCACTCGAATCGGCTGCCGGGTGGTTTGGGGTATTCTTGGTTGTTGTTGGGAAACATTTTAGTTGTTTTTCTTAAACAGAAAAAAACATAAAACTTGAACAGCGGGGTTTACGTTGGGACACACTCTTTACTTTTGTTTATTGTGGTTTCGTGGTTGAAATCCAACCACTTGGCTGCTATTTGCTTTTTTAATTTTTGCTCCCCTTCCAACGCCAACCAATATTTTTTTGATAATGTGGGTGTGGCTCAAAATTGAACAGCCGGGGTTTACGCAGATGTTCGCCTTTCTTCCCAGAAAAACCGGGTGCCATTGTGAGCCACATCCATTTGTTGTTTAAAGGTCCGTTTCAAAAGCCGCCCCCCCCCCCCCCCCAATTTGGTCCAAGTCACTCTGAGACAACCCATGCCAAAGTATTCTTTGGGTTAGTATTTGAAGGAAAACCAACAGGAACCTAACCCTCCATTTGCATAAGACTAGGTTGTTAGTTTTCCCAGTTGCGTTCAAGGAGAGGACATATTTTCTCATTTTTCCCCAACAGCTGAAGGCTATGTGGTCTCTGCCCAGATTGGCTCGCAAGGGGTGGTTTGGGGCATTCTGTTCAAGGGGGTTCAAAGGGGCTGTTGGGGATACTTGCTAATTCTCAGCCAGGAACGGGGGAATGACCACTATAACCCATTCCCCTGTGGTTTCCCAGGGCTCCTCAACACCAAAATAAAGTTGGAAACCACCATTTACAATGTTTACAAGTTGCAATGTTCAGGTGTGTTTTATGCATCCGGGTCCCTGTTTCCTTTAAAAGCATCCCTAGGTTCATTCCCAACTGGGTCATTCCCTTAGCCCTCGGATACCGGGGAAGTTTAGATGGGAGTTTCCCAGCTGAAAGCCTCGGATCTGTGGTTCCAGGCCTTGAGCTGGGGAAAGCTGGCACCTGAGCTTAGATTTTTGTCAGGAGATATACACTTCCCCAGAGTTAGCTCCCCTTCTTTTTTGCTTGGAATTGGTCCCATTGTTTTCCACATTTTCCAGGCAAAAAAGATCTCATTTTTTGCTGGGGTCAGCCAATTCCAGCCAAGTACGGTGTATTGTCAGCTGCCCCCGAGTTGGAGGTTTGGGCTGGTGGTGGAGTGGTTTCCCATGTACCCTCTAAAAGAACCAGGGCTTCAAATCCCCCAATCCAAACCACCAATCGAGGGTTGCCTGGTTAATTGATATTGGATATTGGAACAGAATCAGAACATACGCTTCACTGTTCTTGGATCAAGTTAGTTGGTGTTTGTTTATTTTCATGTTTTAGGTGCGGTAGGTGCGGTGGCTGCAACAAAACAGTTGTTTCTTGTTGTTTGTTGTTTGTTTCCCGATATTTGGGATCATGTTGCAGGAAAGCTGGCGATGTTCTTTCCGAGGAGCCCTAGCACTTGGCCAACGACTGGTGTTCTCTCTAACTTCCCTCGCCCTCCATTTCCCGTGGCTTCGCCTAAGAAAACAATAGACATACTGCGGATGGTGACGCGAGAACTCGGCAAAATCGCACCATTCCGAAACCCTGGGCTCAACGGTTCCGATTCGATTCCCCTCTAAAACATCTCTACATACCAACAATCCGTATGGTTTGACGTTCCAACCATGGTAACTCAAAATGATTCATACCTGGGTGTCAAAATGATTTCCCTACAACTACCGGAGAAAAAACATGTTCTGGCAGCTCAGTCAACTCAATGGGAGCTCCTTCACCGGTTTCGCGGTGCTTTTGCACCTCCAAGCTGGCAGAAAGCTGAGCGCGCAAGCTCGAATCGGCCTTTTGAGGTCGTTCTACCTGATTCTACCTGGTTTCATGGAGGTTACAATGATAGGGCCTGAACCAAAAATTCCGGTCTCCCTAAGAATCGGGCCCGTTTACAAATGCCAAGAAAGGGATTCTACTTATAGCTTTGGCAACATCTTTAGCACCATACAGGTGTTGTGTTTTATTCGGGGACTTCACCTGAGCTTGCTTTGTTTACCAGAATTCGGCATGTTTCTCAACACTGTGTACCCCCTTCTGGCTGGTATTTTTGAAGGGAAACCGACCGTTAAAACCTGTCATTCTTGGGTCCAAATCCTATTGTATTTTCCCTTGTTGAAATCGATTTCACTACTGGACAAATGTTCTCATTTTTCCCGGGGGACGAAAACAACCCATGGAGTTTTTGTTTTTTTGAATCTGATTGGGTTGGGTTTTAAAAAGACAACCACAATCCATTTTAAAGAAGACATGATTTGAGACGACGAGGCCAATGGAAGGGCCCAAGCGTCCCATTTCTTCAGATCGAGAATCGAAGCATGGCTCAGGAAGTTCGCGGACGTGCCTTCCGGCCTGGCGGCCATTTCCAAGGCAGAGATGGCGGGCGACGTGGACTAGGTCCCCCAGTAGCCCTTTTTTGGTTAGGAGATTCGGTTCCCCTACTAAAATAGAGTACAGAAAAAAGTTGGTACCCTTATTCTAACCTCTCTACTGGAGGACCTAGGGGGGGGGTGGGTGGCTGGGTAGGGTGGGTGCGGGTGCGTGGGGGGTGGAGTGGCTGAGTCATAGTTGTCCGAACCAGTCATTCGGTTCAACTTAGTTTTTAGTGGTTTTTAGTTGGTTTGGTGGTTGGGTTTCCGAATTTTAGCAAGGGATTTGAGGGCAGCCCAGTTTTGTCAGTTTGTCCGGAGTCCGAGGCTATCAAAGTCACAAACTGGGGTTTAGATCACTGCAGCACTGAACGGGGATGACTTTGATAGTAGCTAAACCAATGGCGAATGGGGCCAGCTGAAGTAAGGAACCATCTCCCGGACATGTTTCGCAAAATTCCAACAAAACACCCCTTGGACGAACTGTCCGGCGAATTTCCTCGCAATGGTTTCTTGGACCTCAATGAGGGGTTCTACATAAACATAGGGCCCCTTTGTTAGCTTGAAAGAGGAGGTCAAAAGGTCAACCGTCTCTTCCCTTCACTGTGTCGCGGTAGCTCCTGAGAGTTAGGCAGGGAAGGGAAAAGGAATGTGAGAAGAGCTTGCGAACGAAAAGATGCTTCTAAGACTCTTCTCTATCTCTCTTGCTTTATCTCTCCATTAGACCTCCCCGTTATCAGAGATTCTTGATTGGCGAGGGAAGGAATTAAAAGGAGAAACAATCCCAAGCCATTATTTTTCCTTTGTCACATCTATAATTGAGGAATGAATGACCAAAGGGAAACGAATGGATCATCTCTTACACACTCTCACAGAGAAATCTCTTGGATGCCATCTACCTCTGTTTGCCCGCGTTGAATTGGTTGGAAGCAAGTCTCTTTGAGAAGTTTCTCTATGTTCCAGAAATGAGCGAGGGAGGGTTCTACACAAGAGGGGCCCCTCCATCTTCTTTTTAAGGCCCTTCAGGTAACCTCAACCCTGGCAGCCTACATTGACCAACAAAAAGCAAAGGAGGGACCTTTTGGAAACAAAGTTGTCTCTAGGTTTCCCAGCGATTGGTGCCCGACCTCTCGCCCCTTTTTTTGGTTGGGAGGGTTCCCCTACTAAAATAGACTACAGAAGAAAATCGGGTACCAACTTATTCTAACCTCCAAAACTGGAGGACCTAGGAGTGAGTCTCAAACCCACCACACAGCAAATACCCCAAGGAAAGACCCCAAAGTTGCTTTTCCATGGCAACCCGCCCGTGCTTTTCTTCAAAAGTTTGTGTTTTTTTTGCAAGGCAACTTTTCAAGTGGCCTGCAGGCTTCCTACCCTCGCCAACCTTAGGGTAGAAGATTGCCGACGGTTGTTTTCTAAGTGAATCCCAAGAGATACCCCAACCACATTCTTACCTCTTAAAAAACACAACTTTTCAAATTTTTTGGGTAACATGGGCTATATGTCTGTAAAATATTAACTTCCCCAGCGCTTGGAGTTTTAAGGGGTAAGCATTGGTTGGTGGACAACAATTCCCCACCGAATTTCGAGGTGCATTTCGGGTCTGGGACCTGTCAATTTGTGGAAACAATCACTCCCAACTGTCTACCCTGATCAATCCCAGACACAAAAGGGGATAAATATCCCCACAGGTCCCCTCCCAAATCTGCACTTGTAGCTTTTTTTGTTCTCTCCAGATGCCCCCTCCAAATCCAAAGGTTGGTCCCCTCCAAATCCAAAGGTTGGTCCCCTCCAAATCCAAAGGTTGGTACCTGGAGTCTTTTTTTAAGGACCCTTACATAATGGTTGGTCAGACTACCCAAAACAATCGGTTCATGGACCCATTCTTATTTCGGGTCATGGAGACTCCAGGTATTTATATATGACCTACATGGAGTTTTTCTGGAGGGGCTTCGGCTGGAGTGGGGAGACCCGGAGACCCGGAGACCCGAGACCCCTGCGCTCGAATCCGTCGAATCCATGGAACAGGTGCCCCTGGAGGGCTGGCTGCAGGTCTTGCTGGTGGCGGGGCTCATTGAGACCCAGCTCTTCAAGGAGAGACATCGGATTTTTTCTACCTGAAGTTTCCCTAAGGACCCTTGAAAAATGTGTTTCTTGTTTCCCTGAAGGATTCCATTGGCTAGTTGTTGTTGTTTTTGCAAGGACCCTAAAAAAATGGTTGGTCAGTCCACTTGCCTAGGTCCCCAGTAGTGCCCTTTCTTACCCTTTTTGCAACACAACCCCCCCTTGCCGAAACTTACAGGTTTCCCTTCAACCCACAAAGGAGTACCTGGAGTCTCCTGACCGGGTATTGTCGCATGAATCAACCTGGTTGCACCCTGGAATCTCCAGAACCCTTAGGATTTTACTTAAGTAATTATTATTAGCATATACTGGCACTGAAATGTATAAAGATGAACATCAAAATTAATGAATACCTGGAGTCTCCCTAAGGACCCTTAAACAATGGTTGGTCAGACTACCCAAAATCATGGTTGGTCATGGACCCATTTTTATTTCGGGTCATGGAGACTCCAGGTACAGTCGACTCGCTGAAATGTGTTTGTGTTTTTTGTTGTTGGTTAAACATAATGATGATTATTATTAATTGCTGCCATGTTTTCTTCTTTTTTCAAGGGAGTCGATGTCACTGCTTTGGACATCTGTGTCTGTATATTTTCCAGTGGGCACAAAGCACATGGAAGCTGCCCATGGCAAAAATGGACGCCGTCCATTGGGCCGAGATGAAAAAATGGAAGCCTCGAGGTCCGCCCGTTGGGCTGAAAGCTCCGGTGGACTTCTCGAGTTCCGGGACTCGGAACATCGACAAAACTCATGCTTACCTCTAAAAAAACACAACTTTTCAACTTGTTGGGTAACATGGGCTATATGTCTGTAAAAGATTAACTTCCCCAGGGCTTGGAGTTTTAAGCATGGCATTTGAGCAAAACGGTCACTTTTGGCGACTTTCTGCGACACCAAGCGTTTAAGGCTGAAGAGGGATTTGCATGGATCCTTTCGGGTTGCCTCTCCTTTCCTTTTTGAATCACCCCAGCCAAAAAGGAAGAAAAGGAAGTACCAGACCCACATCAGTTGAACACCTGTTCATTTTACCGCCTCAAAAAAAAGCAAAATGCAAAAAACATAAAGGGAAAACACAGCAAACAGCAAACACAAGAAAATTAACAACTAACACCTTTTGGGAGATCGGGCCCATGTTTCTTTTTTTTGGGGGGGGGGAACCGCAGTTGAACACTGAGGACCCTCTCCTGGCAGGTTCTATGATGACTGATCAATCCAAGCATGTTTCAGGGGGCCACCAAGAAAGGAATGAAGGAACCCCAGAAGAAGCTGGGGCTTTGGTCGACCACATATCCTCCGTCCCATATGGGCGAGCAAAGAACGGAAAGCTCGACACTCTCTCCCTGTTGCAGGCAATTCGGAGTCACCTTTGGTCCCGCAATCTTAGCCTGACTAAAACAAACAATGCCCAGCTTCTTGTCCTATGCCTCGGTGTGAGGTTGCCGTTTTCTTTTTGTTTCTCTTTTGTTTGTTGTTTTTTCTTCTTTACTTTCCTTTGTCGAGCTTGTCCTATCTTGCCTGGGTGTAAAGTTGCTTTGCTTTTTGTTCTCTCTCTCTCTCTCTCTCCATCTGATTCTTTTTCAGGAAAAAACAAACACAACACAGCTGGACCCTATGACATGTCCCAATGTTTGTTTGTTCGACGGAGGAAAGTATTTTGCGAGGACCAGTCTTTTGGTGGCTTCGCCTACGCCAAGTACGGCAGCTTCGATGCGGTTCAGTGTGTTGGCTGCGAGCGGTGGACCCTTTGGACGGGTGTCAAGCTCTCTCGGTGGCTCCCAGCCGTTTGGTTCAACTTACCCCTTACACCCAATACCCGCGTTTTTTAAGAGTATTTTTTGGAAAACCTGGTTTTCCATGGTAAGTACCTCCTTTTTTAGTAGAGGGTCGACATGATACCCTTAGAAAAGTGGGTATTGTGTGTAAGGGGTAGCCTTTTAGTTCTTTTGTCCTTACTTGCGACAAGAGGATTTGTTGATTTGTACTGTGTGAATGGGATTCATTCGAAGTTAACATTACTGGGTGGCTCCCAGCCGTCCGGTGTTTAGGTTTTGAGGGTTAGTGGTTGGATCTCCGTTTTGACCCCACTAAAAGCTCAACTTGTAGCAGGGGATCTTGAAAGTCCTTTTGGAGACATAGGTGACCCAGCAAAATGGATCCAAATGGGAATCAGGATTTGGGTGTGTCTTTCTTAGGGGACCCACCAAATTGACGTTTGGTGTCCCTTTAAAACCCACCAAACAACTCGAGTAACAAGTACCACCTCCGAAAAAGACAGACCCCTTTGTCTTGCTTTACCAGGGAACATCCCGAACCAGTCCCAGATTGTTTTTTCCGCAACCCTGAAACCGGATTCGTTCGGCGGCGTCTTACCTTTCGGTATATGACGCTCACTTTGGTGAAGACGCTGTGGGTGTCTGAAAGTCATCTTTTTTGGTGAGTTCCCTGGTCGTCCCATGTAAAAAGGGAGCTTTTGATCAACCCCCAACTCGAGGGAAGCTGAGCTTTAGATGTACCTGGAGTCTCCCTCTGCCCCTTTAAACATGGTTGGTCATTACTCAAAAGAATGGAAAGGGTCATGGGATCCCCATGTTTATTTCAAGGGTCAGAAGGAGACTCCATAGAACTCACAAATGAAAGCTTAAACTGCACATTGCCCAAAATAATGGTTGGTCATGGTCCCATTTTTAAAAATCGGGTCAGAAGGAGACTCCTGGAGGGCAGTGAGCAATTCTTTCACGTCAACTGCACGGCTTTCTGCCTAAAGGGATCGTGGCCATGGTTTCAGGCTTTCTTCTTTACTTTTTTTTGGGTACAGGGCGTCTCCTTCTGACCCGTCGCAAAAGTGGTCATTGCCTAAAAAGAGGGGTCATGGGCCTATTTTTAAAAAGTTTGTTTTTTTGGAGACGCCAGCTATGACTAAAGTCGTGATCGCTCTTGTCGGTCCCATCATGGGATCGGTGTTTTTTGTCAACCGACATCGATCTCGGGCTGCTGGGAGGGTCCTGAGACGTTCAACCTATGAAGGATCTTTTGCTGCAGAGTGTCTTAGGATTGGAACCTTTGCAGTTCGTTGGGAGTGCCGGATGCCATTCAAAAGATGTCACCCAAATCGAATTTGGGTGTGGCTCAAAATTAAACGGGAGGGGCAAACCGTAGGTTTTGGTCCATGTTTCCACTTATTACCAGGGTTCCATTTTGGTACCGGTTGTTTGAACCACAGCCATTTGAGTCTCAGGTTCCTGTCCGGCAAAACAAAAATGCTTCCAGAAGAAACTTCCGGAGGCGCCATGCGGGTGGATGTGCACTTCACGCAGCGAGCCAAAGGCTGCAGCGCGTTTCGGCACTTCAGCGCTGGTCGAAGCTCTCTGCGCAAGGCCGCCGGCTCGATGTGGCGGCCACGCTGCGCTGATCAGACGTTTGCTTGGCGGCCAGATGCAATACATTTAGCACGTCAAGGCATTGCCACCTTTCTTGAATCGCTGTTTTGGCCTGGAGCCATCCACAAGAGTCCGCGGAGAGCAGCCAGGTGCAAGAGCAGCTGCGCAACATCCGGCACGTCCAAAGCAAGTGACTATGATGCTTTGGCTGCTCTTGAATCTGGGGCCGTCGTGACCTAGGTTTGTGCAGAATACGGAGGAGACAGCAACCAGGTGCAAGAGCAGCTGAGCAATGTCCAGCACATCCAAGCAACCGCTAAAGATTTTGCAACCATTCTGAAATCTGCGCCACAAGTGCAGAAGACCTGGGATTCAAGAAGATGGATGCTGCCGCTATGGGACAAATAGACGCCAGGGAGTAAGTGTGAAGAGAACTGTGGGCTTGCGTCTGAGGGCCGCTGGTTCCACGCTTGGCAAGGTAACGTGGGACGACGTGTTGCGCTTGGACAAACCTTACATGCATTCTCTTTTGAAGGCAGGGTGGGTCCTGGGTTTTTCCATGTCCCACCTTGCCTTGAAAACGGAATATTTGCAAGGTTTGAGAAAGCGCCACAGGTCGCCACATGTCGCCCCCGTTGCCAACCGTGGAGCCAGCAAAAGTGGGAAGATCTCATGCAGCAAGTAGGAGCTGCATCATCCACAAGCCCGATTCCACAAGTGCAGAAGACGTTGGATTCAAGAAGAGGGATGCAGCGGCTATGGGACAAATAGACGCCAAGGAGTAAGTGTGAAGAGATTTGTTGTCTTGCGCCTGGGGGCCGCTGGTTCGACACTTGGCAAGGTAACGTGGGACGACATGTTGCGCTTGGACAAACCTTACATGCATTCTCTTTTGAAGGCAGGGTGGGTCCTGGGTTTCTCCATGTCCCACCTTGCCTTGAAAACGGAATATTTGCAAGGTTTGAGAAAGCGCCACATGTCGCCACATGTCGTCCACGTTGCCAACCGTGGAGCCAGCAGTGGGAAGATCTCTCACGCAGGAGCTTTTGACTTTTGACTTTTGACGAACGGGGTGGTCAAAATTCAACCAAGGGACCATGTGATTCTTTGTTTCCATTGTGGCTTAAAGAACCTGGAGTCCCGAGCCTTGCAAATTGGTTGGTTCCCCAAAAGAAGAAATCATGACCAGTGGCTTGCCATTTTGGGTACCCGGAGTCTCTTGAAAAGCCCTGGGGAAAAAGAGTCATTCTCCCCAAAATGATTTAAAAAAAAAAACATAAAAAAAGAAGAAAATATGGACCCGTTAGTTAGAACCCTTCCCCAAAATCATTCGACCCGAAATAAAAATGGAAAGGGTCAGACTACCCCAAATCATGGCAAGGGTCATGGACCCATTTTTCGTTCGGGTCCTTAGGGAGACTCCAGTTAAGTAATGGTTGGTCATGAACCCTGTTTTGTTTAAGGGCCAGAAGGAGACTCCAGGTAGTTTTCACCAAAGTGCTTTTGATGCCCAAAAAGAATCCTGGGCTTTCCGTTGTGACCTGGGACGGAGACAGCCAGGCGCACGAGGTTGGCAGTCCGGGGGTCGGTGTAGCACGGCTGGCGCAAAACAGGAGGCGCGAAACACGTGTGGAATGAAGGGAGCAAGTGGGAAGGCAAGTCTCCCATTTGCTTAAGAATGCCTCGAATCTTCATGGCCCGAAATAAAAATATGGGTCCATGACGCAATTGTTTTGTGTAATGAGCAACCATTTTTCAAGCGTCATGGAGACTCCAGGTATACCTAGCTGGTGGCAAGGGAGCCAAGGAGCTGGGTGTATCTAAATTTGCTCTTAAGGGTGGAGCTAAGAAGTTACCAGGAGTTCTGTAAGAACATGGTAGATATTCCGTGGTCCCCTCTTGGTTTTCAAGGAACCTATCATGACTGGAAACACTTAATATTTGTTCTCGGGGTTTCAAGTTGTATGGAGTATGGAGTGGGGTAAGCGGACAATAGGCTTTGCCGTCGAGTCAGGGTGTAGAGGCGCTTGGCAGTTTGCCCAAACTTGCACGCAGTTTGCTGCGCTGTGTGGTTCGAAAACAACATGTAGGTGTTGTTTGTTGCAAGTCATGTGCCCTTGTTGGATGACTTTAAACAGGTAAGACTGAACTTCCCCATAATTAGCTCCCCTTTTCTGCTGTTTTGCTCTTTTTTGGAATTGGTCCCCTTTGTTTTCCACCTTTTCCAGGCAAAATATATATATATATATCTATTATTTGCTGGGGTCCCCTTCTTCCAGCCCTAGTTGGATTGGGTGGTTTGGATTGGTTCTTTGGGGATTCGAACCCATTGGTTCCTTTTGACCAAGTAGGCCTTGAACCGTGCCTTCTGGTGGTAGGCCTATGCTATGGTGTTCGGGTTGTGGTTCAGCGAGGCCCCATATTAAGCCCAGTTGCCCAGTGGTGCCTTTTGTTTCTCTTTTTTTTGGGAAGGGTTCCCCTTTAAACTCAACCAACAAAAAAAAATGCCTTTTTTTCCCTGGCCACTGGGCATCTGAGTAAGGTTGGGAGCAATATTCTGGCAAGGATAGAATGAGGCGGCAAGGGGGCAGAAAGGTGGGCATCAAGATAATGGCAAGGTTAGAGAAGGACTCTGGTAAGTTTATGGTAAGACAATTGCACTGGGTGCAATCTGAGAATACGAGTATAGTCAGCTCATGATTTCAGTCCTTCGGTTGTTATACTCGTTCTACACAAAGATAACTAGGTCCCCCAGTAGTGCCCTGGCTCACCAGCTTTGTCGGGGGAGGGTTCCCCTACTAAGATAGACATGAAAAAAGTTGGTACCCTTATTCTAGCCTCTCTACTAAGAAAAACTAGGTTAGAGTGAGGATAGAGTAGTGAGAATGGTAGTGAGAATGACTGTGAAGTCAGATCAGAGCAACAGCTGAGAGTCAGGCGATCGGAACATGGAGCGATCTGGGTCCTAGAGGGATTTTAAGTACCCCATAGTTGCGGCTTTGGGCTTGGGCTAAAGGAGATTCGTCAATTGCAGATTCTTCAAATCCTCAAATATGAGGTCCTTGGACCCTCTGGGGGGTGTAAGGTTATAGTACCATTATAATTTCGTATTGTTGGCTTATTGATCCGGAGGATCCTATCAGTTTGGACACGCCTAAAAGTAGATGATCTCCTTGCTACAAAAAGGAATCAAAAGCCTGTGAAAACCAAACAAACACAAAACACGGCGCTCCCAAACACTCACCTTTTCTAATCGCCTTTTTTTTACGATCGGGTTTCCATGGTAAATACCGATCTCCTTTTTGTTCGTAGAGGATCGACATGATACCAACTACAAAATGCAGGTATTGGGTGTAAGGGGTACCCCCTACTCCAAATACATTGTTTTTTAGGGTATGATGTTAACCCTCTATTAAAAAAGGAGGTATTTACCGTGGACAACCGATCGGTTTTCCAAAAACCACCCTAGCAAAAGTTGGCATTTGGAGGTTACGGGGGTGTAGTAAGGGAGTGAAAGCACCTAAGTCGCAAAGCGAGTCGACCTGAAAAGACCCCATTTCAGGGAGCCCCGTTAGGCCAGGCTGTCGTTTGGGGATCACCTGTTATTTTGTGGGTAACTGGACCGAAAGATGGCCGTGGGTTAAAGCCAATGGTGGCATTTTCATTTTGGGGTAGGTGAATTCACCACCATTTGAGAACCAATTTTCGTGGTTGGATTGGGATGTTCACTGGGGGTACGGGGTTTTGACCCATGGCCATATGTGCGTGTCTTGGCCGTTTTGTTAGGGGCCTTTGCAAAATGGTGGACGCTTCCTTTTGCTCTCCCTTTGAAACCGCATAACAAAGGTACCCTGAAGAAAAAGGCCCATACTCACATTATTCAAAGTTGAACAGCTCGGGTTTTCCGCAGGGTTTAGAGTCTTCCTTTCCATTTGCTAGGGCTCCACCCCGACTTTTTGAGCCACAGCTAGTCACATCCTTTTCTTTTGGTGGCTGCCCCACTAAAAATGGTCCAAGCCCCAAAAAGGGTTCCAATTATTTTTTTCCAGGGTCACTGAACAACTAAGTAGCAGATCATCGAGCTCACAAACATATTCGGTGGCCAGGTCGAACCAAACCCGAAGCAACCGCAACTTTTGGCCAAACTGACAAAACAAGTGACTCACATCATGGCTTAGATCCAAAGGTCGAGAGTTTACGTAGTTTTTAGCGCGCTGAGGCGAGCCGGGCAACTTCGGCACCGGGTACTGGGGCAGGAAGATCAAGGAGAGGGACGGCGCCGTTTGTTTGTTGTTTTTTTTGCTAATGTTTTCTTCTTGTGTTTCCATTTTTTTAATGTTGTTTGTCTTTAAACACATGTTGTTTCCCCGATTTCCTTAGTCTGGGCCTTTCGATTTCCTTCAGAGTCTGGGGTCATTAGAGGAGACTGGGGTCATGAAATTTTGACGTAGTCACAGTCAAAAAAATCCTGTGGTGGTTTCCCTTCACCTACCACCCAGCCCTGCAATGGTTGGTCGTCTATGGTTGATCTCGTTGCCCCTTTCAGTCATGGAGACATGTAGCAAAGCTGAGTTTCGTCATGGGAACTCAATGCCTCCAAGCAAAAGGAAGCCTGGATCTTGCAAATCACGGAAAACAATGACGTTTTTTTTAAGGGTCTCAGTGAAAAACACAGAGTTTTCAAGCTCACAGTCAGTTTTTGGAAGTAAAACTGATAGAAATTGATTGTCACTTCTGGAAATTGGTTTGCACACCTGACACCCCGAGACATCGCAATTATTCGCTACTTGTTAGAAAGAGCCCTCCAATTCATAAAGATTCATAATCATACTCAATTATTCGGCATTCCGAATTGTTCAGAATTCGGAATTGCTCAACATTTGAGCCTTTGGGTGACAAATTGGCAAAGCCGGAAATCACCACACCTGAAACTCAGCGCAAAACTTCATCAAAAAACCCGCACACTCCCGCAAAAAAAAACAACAACAACGGAGTGTCCTGAGAGTGCATTTTCTGAAAAAGCAGTGGAATATCCACTCGTGCACAGAGTTGCATATTTGATGGGATAGCGTACAGAGTTGAATAATTGTGGGCCCAAACAACGAAAAATACAACTGCACTTGCGTCCAATTGTTTCCCCCAAGAACAACTCCTAGTTTTCGATTCCACTCCTTCCTTTTTGAAGCCACTCCTGCTTTTTGATTCATGCATTTCAAACACGAAACTCCTTGTTTTCAGAGGGTCTCTTGAAAATAGCCCGTAGAACCGAAAAACAGAGGACGGAGTGGTAAGATGGCTTCGGGTTTTCCTTTGGCTTCCGTTAACCACAAAGAAATGATACCCTCAAACAAAAGGAGACCCATATGGCTGTGGCTCAAAAAACCGGTACTAAAATGGATCCCAGGCAAGTGGAAACATGAACCAAAACCTGCGTAACCCTAGCTCTTTAATTTTGAGCCACTGCCATATAGCCAGGGGTAAACGAGGAGAGCCCCCAAGACTGAAGTGCTTTGGTTCGGTCTTCCGGGTCTTTGGGAGATTGAAATTTCCTCGAGAGCGAATCATTCATCGCGAATCTTGGGATTCCCCATGTTTGACCAATTTATTGGCTAGAACAGACACTTGCCTTTCCCCAGAAGAAAAACACCAGGTCATTGTCTCGATGTCAAGAGCTTGTTTCCAATTTGATCCCAGTTCCATTTACCTCTATAGGCTCAGTATTATCCAAAACCGACCTTTCGACCTTTGGTTTTTCATCTTTCCTCAAACATGGTTGTTGTTGGGAAACTTGTTTTTTCATTTTTGCTTATTGTGGTTTAGTGGTTGAAATCCAAATCCACTGAACTGCCAAGATTTTAATTTAGCTCCCCTTCCAACGTCAACCAAGCAAAAGGGCAACTTGTTTATTTCCAGACCCTTTGGGCAAGTGAGTAGGTAACCCAGGGAACCCGCTAAAACCTCAAAGCAAAATCACAGGTCGCCAAAGGGAAACCAGCGTCCGTTTTGGAGGTCCAAGTCTCTTTCCAGCAACCTGGAGTCTCCATGACCCTTAACTTCCATTTGTTTAAGACCATTTTTATTTTCCGCTGTTGGTTTTAAAGGGAATCTATCACTACTGTTTGTATGTTTGTGTTTTCCAGGCTTAATCAAATGAAATTTAAAAGTGGTTGGTCCTTACCCAAAATAATTGGGGGTGCTTAGGGAGACTCCAGGTAGAGGAAACACCAGCTGGACCGGCTTCTTTTCCGCGCGGAATTTCTCGGATCATGGACCCATTTTTATTTCGGGTCATGGAGACGCCAGGAAGTTCCGACGTTTCACCTTTTGCGCGGCCGGAATCTTGGGATTCTAAGCTGCTTACCGAGTCTCGCATCTGGGTCTGTGTTCTTTGAGGGTGATTTTTGTTTTCGAGGAGAGCAAAAGGCAAGCCGCCCGTGTTTGGAGGTTTCCCATTTTGGTCATACAAGAAACCACCCAGTCCCCCCCCCCCCCCAAATGTTTGATCATATGAGGCACGGTTTTTCGCCCAGTTTCCCCCATGTTTGATCATAAAAGACCAAACGCACAAACTGTTTTTTGTTTTTTTTTTGTGTGCCCCAGCGTTGGACCCATCCGTGGCGTTGCCCCCAGCGTTTTCCCCGAAAATTCCGCGATTTCAGGACCCGGCGGAGCGCAAGCTGAAGCTCACCACGGAGCTGAACAACGGGCGCTTGGCCATGACGGCCATGGCCGGGATGCTCATCCAGCCGGGGGCCACAGATCTCGGCTGTGGGTCACATCTTGGGTACCTGGAGTCTTCATGACCCTTTGAAAATGGGCCATCACGTCATGTTTTAAGGGGCATGGAGACTCCAGGTTCCCTCCTTCCAATCATGGAAGTGCCTGGAGTCTCCTTCTGATCCTTTAAGAATGGGTCCATGACCATGAATGACTCTTTTTTAAAGGGTCATGACTCCAGGTACCAAAAATGGGACTTGCCCCGTAAATGGAGACATGGACTTGGACCGATCCGCGGCCCAATTCCTGGCGTGTTTTGACCCCTCCCCATTCGGCCTTCGGGTCCGGAGCTCCGGAGCTCCGAAGCTCCGAAGGTCCGAAGGTCCGAAGCAGCCAGGGACTTACCTCTTAAAAACACGACTTTTCTCAACTTTTTGGGTGACATGGGCGATTTCTGTCTGTAAAAGATGAAAACTTCCCCAGGGCAAAAGGAGTTTTAAGGGGTAAGGGGACATGCAGGAAACCATGTTGCAAGTCAAGTCTACAGAAGGGCCGGGTCTTTTTTGGCCAAATGGGCGGGGTGCGGTTGGGTACCCTTCGCAATTTTCCGTTTGGTCTTTGAAGCTGCCTTACCAGCAAATTCAAGCGGATCCACATGGGCTGAATGCTGACCCAGAGCTTCCTCGGCCGGAACTTAGGCCTTTTGTCAACGGCCGTTTGTCACCCCGTAAAAAGGCCGTAAAGAAACCTCCGTGTTTAAACGGCCTCCGTAACTCAGGCCTTTGGACTCCTGTTCAATTCGCCAAGTTAGTGAGTTGTTTGTAACCTCGGTTACACTTATGAGCCCTAAGTGGGCTTAACCTTCCTGGAAAGCCGTATGGCCATTTTTGTTTGGCCTATTTGGATCGTTTTTCCCGTATGGTCATTTTTTGCTAACCGGTGGCCGTATTTGGCCGTATGCAACCCGTATTTTTTCGACAAATTGTTGACAAAAAGCCGCAAATGACCGTATGGTCCTTTTTTTATGGCTCAAGGCGTATGGACAAAACAAAAACGTCATATATGGGTTTCCAGGTTGCCATAGGGTTGTACCCTAACCACTTACTAACTTGGCCGAACATCCAAGTACGGGCCATTATTTTTTACGAGCGCTGTTTTTTGTTTGCGGGGGGTCATGCGGGCGATGGTTGCTCGTGTCCAAGCAGTTCCTGGAATCCACACCTAAAGGATCCCCAAAGTGAGCCACAATCAAAACCCGGGCAAGTGAAGGTTAAGGGACACTCACCTTGTCGTAAATGGGAGCGGGTAGCCGCCTGGTGAATTGTAAACGCTTCGTGTTGCCCGCCTCGGCCATGGTTTTGGCTGGCTGTCAGGTATTGTGTGGTGTTTTGTTTGGGTCGGCACCGACATGCGCCGCAGAGAGTTACAGAAGAGTGGACTGGGCCAGAGGGCCTGGGCTTTGGCGGGAGTTGGACCGGCGGGGATGGGTTTGGAAGATCCTGAGGTTCTGAAGGGGTCTGACCGCTTCCCGGACCTGGGCCGAGGTGAATTCTTGAAGCATGGTTCTGGGATCGTGGCTGAAGTGCAGGGCATGGGTTTTTGCGGGCTATGGAGAGCCATGTCCGAGCAGTTCCTGGAATCCATACCTAAATGATGTCCACCAAAGGGTTGGCTACGTACTTCCTCATTTCCGTTTCGGACTTTAGTCGCTTTTGGGCTGGTTGCCATTTAAATAGCAAACAAACAGTTTAAACTTTTCTTACCAATCCACTCAGCAAGCGAGACTACACCACCATTCACAATGTTGACATCGCCACCAATCATAGCTGGTGGACATGAAAGCAAACCCACCCATTGCGTCAGGGCACCTTGTTGGGCTGCTTTCAAAAGAAACAAAGAGGAACACCACCATTTGTTGGGCCACCCACATTGAGATTGTTGCTTGGTTTCAACGCTGACCTCCACCCCAAAGTAGAACAAGAAAAGATCCATGACAACAGTGGCAGGGGGCCATCAATGATTGTGACACTGTGGAATATCCGTACAGTGCGCTCGGCCTTCGATGCTCCAACTTGAGTCTACTTAAGTAGAGTCTATGCCAGCTGCAGGGGTAGCAACTGGTAGGATTGGAAACCATAAGCCTAAATTCCAAGAAGTTTACCCACTGGTTTTTGTGGGGTGTTTTGCGCAGAATGTCCTGGAGAATGTCGTGGAGGTGGTTTGGTGAAATTCTAGGTCCGCCAGTAGTGCCCTTCTCACCCCCTTGTTGGTTGGGAGGGTTCCCCTACCAAAATAGACTACCGAACAAAGTTGGAACCCTTATACTAACCTCTCTACTTGAGGACCCTAGAATACCTGAACCCCCAAAGGCCCCTTTTTTCTGGCTTGGGGCGTCCAGGTAGGTTGACCATCCTAAGCCCGGTCCTCCCCATCCGCCCATCCGCCCATCCGCTGTGGGCTGAGGAACGGGCTCACAGGCCAGGCGCCCATCGAGCAGCTCACAGCGGGCCACATCTCGCCCTTCAACGACGGCCAGGCGGGGTGCTCCCTGGAGTCTCCTTCTGATCCTTTAAAACGGGTCCACCCCATTATTTGGGGTAATGACCCCATTTGAGAAGGGTCATGGGGACTCCAGGTCTGCACTCTTCAATGGAGACCAGAAAATTTTGGCGACCATCCCCCCTCCCCACTTTTTGGGTTCCACATCTTGGAGACTGTTTTTTTTGGAGACTGGGTTCCAAATCCAATCTTGGAGACCCGCAAACGGGTTCCCTTGTTGGAGCCTCTTCTTTTTTGCCGGAGAGCAAAAGCGATGAACTAAACCCCTGCCAGGGCGCCTTTGCGCAGTTCGACCCTTCCAAGGAGCCTTCGCGAGCCGATTCGCGAGCCGATTCGTTCGCCGCGTTCGCCGTCCGGCAGAAAGGACAAAATCCGTGCGGAGAAAAACCGGCGGAACGGGTTGACCTGAGTGACTTCCACTTGCTGAAGGATATTTTTGTTTGTTTTTTCCCCTGTTGTTTTGAAAGGGAATCGATTTCACTACTTGAAACATGTATTTTTCCAGGGGGCTTCAGGCAATGGAGGAAGCGTACACTTGTTTTTGTTGCTTGCTCTCACCCCAAGAATCCATGGAGGCTCATGGTAGGGGTTCAGAAGACGACTTTCCTTTGGGATTAACCCCGAATCGTCCACTTCCATGATTGCTGGAAGGAGGGTAAGAAGATAGTGTTTGTTGTCCTGTGGGGTTTGAAAGGGAGTCTGTCACTGACTGGGAACTTTTTCAGGGGGGGGGGGGGTTGGGGTGTGACCTGAGGTCAGCTTCACTTGAAAAGGGGCTCAAATCCAAATCCAAGCCACCAATTGCGAAGCTGAAAAGGGGGGTCCCTTGTTTGAGACAGACCTTAGCTCAGGATCCAGGGGTTAAAATTTAATCCACCAATGCAAACCACCAAGGGGAACCTGACTGGGGGCTTCCCGAGTGCCGAAGCCAAAATTGGGTTGAAGGGGTCGGTCCGAAGCTCTTTTCGACCAAACAGAGTCGAAGATTTGTACCTGGAGTCTCCTGTAGACCTAAACCCAGGGGTTTTCTTTCGGGGACTGGAAATCAACAAATATGATAGAGCCTTCCCTGAACCGGCCTTTGGATTCCTCAATTGCTCAAAGCACTCCGGTACAGGTGGGGTACTTGGGTGTTCGGCTGACGGATATAACCCGCCAGCTCCGTTCAGAACTGTTAACCCTGTCATTGGGTTATACTCCAGGTGGCTAACCACTTACTAACTCGGCAACGAACATGCAAGCACCCCCTTATTTTACCCCCTACTCCAAATACCCACTTTTGTTAGGGTATTTTTTGGAAAACCTGGTTTTCCATGGTAAGTACTCCTTTTTTAGTAGAGGGTTTGCATGATACCCTAAAACAAGTGGGTATTGGGTGTAAGGGGTACGACTCTGCGTCCTTTGGGTTGATCCTTTGTCCGGCTCGTGTTCGGTGAGTTTCCGGGTGCCAACCCTCTGACAAACCCAAAACGTGCCAACAAAGGGTTTTCGGGTTTCACCCTCGTTTGAAACGAACAACAAAACAAAAACAAAACAATAATATCAGCTTGCTGGCTCCCAGCCATCCCCGTAGCTGTTTAGCCTTTTAGTGTTTTGTGGTGGTTTCCATTTAACCCACCAAAAGTTAAACTGTTCGCGGGGGATCTGAGGGCAGCCCAGAAAAGAGGTGCGCCGAGTCTGACTTTTCCCTGCTGAAAGTCTGCGCGTTGCAGACTCCATTTTGGCACCCTTACGTTCGGGTGAGTGGATGATAGTTCGCCCAGATCTATCGACTGTGCGAGCGCCCAATCAAAGGATGCCCTCAAAGAAATTCGCCGGACGTGCCCTCAAAGAAGTTCGCCGGACCATTTCCCGTTTAAAGCAACCCCAAAAAGCTTCGGATCAAGATACAAGTTGGCAAGAGAAGTAGAAACCGAATGGTGAGCGAAGCTCTTTGGTGCAATGAAGGTGAGAGAAGCTCCTTGGTCCAAACAAATTGTTCCCTCGACCAAAAGACACCCTGCCCATTTGGGAATTTCTGGATCCCACTCTTTTCAGCCATGCGTGATCATCACCTTTTGAGCTCATCTATCGTGTTTTTGGCGTCCAACTGTTGAATCTTCAGGTACCGTGTGTTTCCCCGTAGCTTTTTGTTTTGTTTTTTGTGTGTTTAAAGGGGATTTCCTATGTTCACCCACAAAAAGTTAAACTTTTCTCGGGGGGAACTGAGGGCAGCTGCGTTTTCATCCCCACAGCTTGAGGATTCCCCATGTTCGCTTCGGTGGGAGCAAGGGAAGTTGTGTATTGAGGGCGGTTCACGTTATTTCCCAGTTGGCCCGAAGCTTAGCGCTTCAGTTGGCCCACAGACCCAGATCCATTTACTGGGTTTTGTAGGTAGCAAAGGCTTGCCAGCCTTTAAAAACCAAAGGGAGAATGGCTGTCCAGAGCAACATGGATCCACCAGAAGGTCCCTTTCACAGGCAAATGGGTCCAAACCAGGGCCATTTCCGAACGTCACGTTCCACGGCAACGTGGACAGGAGGGTATTGAGACTTGCTGCTGCTCAGGGAATGAGGGAATGAACCCAGAGTCTTAAAGGAACCCGCCAAGGGATGGCTTGAGTCAGGGTCATTCCATGTCTCATTCCCTTCCCTGCATCTCTCGCAGCAAGGAGAGAAAGGAAACCAGGGATGGCTTGGGGGGGCATTCCATTTCTCATGCCCCTGCCTACACCAACACACCACCCCAGCCCTCCCCTCCCCCCCCACCTACCCCAAGACACCTCCCCCCCCCCACCTGTCTCACAGTCTCAGGAGCTGGGCGCCTGCCCGCCCTTGGGCTACTGGGACCCCTTCGGCATGATGGCCTTCCAGGACTTTTAGCCAGCCCTGCCGGATGTCTTTTCCGTTTGGCGCCGCCTTCGGAGTGGCACCCCTTCAGGTCACGCCTCAAAGATTGGGTGTTTTTTTGTTTTTTTCTTTTCCGGCGAGGCGCCGTTTCTTTTTTTGCCGTTTTTCGTTTTTGGTTGGGAGGGCCCAGATTCGGTTCCCGTACTAAAATGGACTAGAGAAGAAAGTTGGGTACCAACTTGTTCTATCCTCCAAAACTGGAGGATCCAGTCAAATTTGGCGTCTCCCGAAGTCGGAGGGGGGCTACTCATACGGGTGGCTCGCCTTGTTTTTGGGAGTTGGCACCAAAAGTTTTGGGGTGGTCTGAAAGGGAACCAGAAGGAAATGCTAGATTTCGGGGGTTATGTGGAGACAACCCATGTTTTTTAGCTTGACATACGAAACCAAATCTGATTTCATGGTTTGGGTGGCCCAAGTCACAAGAGAGAAAGAAATCGAAACGGGAGTGAACCCTTGAAGCTCTGATGTGGAACAGGTACTCACGTGCCCAAAGAGCCTGGAAATAGAAGGTTAGCATTTGGGGACATGACCAACATTGGAAAACCTAAAGGTCAAAAGGTCGGTTCTGGGTAGCGAGTGATGTGGTCCACTGCCGCGGCTTGCCGTGCTCAAATCCGTCGAGGTTTGTTCTCAGGATTACCTTGCCCTGCGAAGCGCTGGCTACCACACTGAGACACTAGCAAATCACCGAGTTCACAAACATATTGGGTGGCGAAGTCGAACCAAGCCCGAAGCAACTGCAACTTTAGACCAACCAAACTGACAAAACAGGTGACTGGAATTGAGGTGACCAAACCAAAGCTGGGCTTCTAGCGGAGAACATGTGCCCTCGAGCAACTACGACGCGCACACAGATTTCTCAACCAAAACCCAAGGGGACCGGCCTCAAATTTTGAAGGCCATGGGGAGACCAGCGATTTTGTTCGGCTATTTGAGGTTCGGTCCAAATATTCTGCTGCGGTCCAATTTGGGGCTCGGGACAAACGGGGACTGCCATGGCAAGAGCAACACTTTGGGGTCAACCTGCTTGATAGCTCCTTTCACAACGAATAGCTCTGTCGACCAACATGGGTATTGTCGCATGACATGATTGTGGTTGCACTCTGAAATCTCCATGACCTTTAAGATATTTACTTAAGTAATTATTAGTACATAATGGCACCGAATTGTGTAAAGATATTTCCTTAAACATTGATGAATACCTGGAGTCTTCATGACCCTTACCAATATCATGGGATCATAGACACATTTTTATTTCGGGTCCTTAGGGAGACTCCAGGTAGCGTTAATTGTCTTAGTACTCGACAGCAGGGGTCATGACCCCTTTTGAGTAGATGACGCCATTTTTTGGGCTTTGCCATCCAGACGTGAGATTGTCCTTGGCGCTCGGAGCCTGTTTTAAAACCCTGGCCATATATACCTGAACCCTCAAACTGCCCTGAAAAAAGACAAAAATCACCCCATTTTTGGGGGGGCTAAAACCCATTTTCAAGGGACTTTTGAGGGTCCAGGTGCCTGGCTTTATTGCTGGCCAAACGCATCGACGGGAGCTGAGCTTTTGGTTCCCCGGTTCGACCTAGCTTTTTACAAAACTTCCCCGACTCCTAAGACCCACTTTTTGTATCCGTGCCTCTACTAAAAAAGGAGGTCGTTACCTTGAAAAGCCAGACTTCCCAAAAAGTACCAACTAGAAAAAGGCCGGGTATTTGGAGGTTCCGGGGGTTGCTTCGTGTTTCGTGGTTCCGAACTTAAAGCCACTAAAGGTTTTGCTCACTGGCGTGACTGCTATTGGGCAAGGGATTTTTACACTTTAACTTTTTGGTTGAAATCAAATTGTGTTTTCCACTAAACAACCAAAAAGTGATTCACTTTTTGCAGGGGGGGGGGGTCGTTGCAGCAACCAATCTTAAACGCAGGTGTTCTGAGGGCCGCCCTTGGCCGGGACTTGGCGGGGTCCCTACCTGGAGTCTTCTTCTGTCCCTGAAAAAAATGTTGGTCATTACCCAAAATCAAGGGGTTATGACCCCATCTTCAAAGGGTCAGAGACTCCAGGTAACATGGTTGTTGTTGGGAAACACTCTTTCCATTTTCGCTTATTGTGGTTTAGTGGTTGAAATCCAAATCCACTTAACTGCTGAAACTTTTAAATTTGTGCTTTCCTTCCAACGTCAACCAAGGTTTGCTCCGCCCTTGGCCGGGACTGAAACAATCCGCCGAAGGGACGAACGGACGGGGTTTTTCCGAGTCACCACCTTATAAGGTGAAGTCTTGGGAAGACCATTTTGGTGGCATACCCCCTACTCCAAATACCCACTCTTGATCCAGTTGGTATTTTTTGGAAAACCGGTTTCGGTTTTCCATGGTACATACCGACCCCTTTTTTAGTAGAGGGTTTACATGATACCAACTAAAAAACGGCCGGGTCTTGGGTGGTTACGGGGTACAGCTTGGGCTTTTCCTGGCTCCAATGAGATCCAAACCAAGCCATTCTGGCTTTTTTCCTGGCCCAGGGAGTCCAAAGGCCGTTGAGTTACGGAGGCCGTTTAAATACGGGTTGGCTTTTTACGGCCTTTTTACGCGGTGTTTACGGCCGTTGACAAAAGGCCTAAGCTACTCAGGCCGAGGAAGCTCTGGGTGGGGTCTTGGACACATTTCTGGTTCGAACATCCGTCGATCCAACCATCTTTCTGGCTTTTGTGTTCCCCCTTCTTTTTTTTTCCTGGGTCTTGGACAAATTTCGGAATCTCCATCGGACCAACCATCTTTCCGGCGTTTTTGTTTCTTCGGGGGTCTTAGTTTTCTTCAGGATGAGCAGAAGTTCCGCAAGAACCGGGAGCTGGAGCTGAAGCACGGCCGCATCTGCCGAGCCCTCAGTTGAGTCGCACCCGTTCCTGGAGTCTCCCTAAGGACCCTTCAAATAAAGATGGGTCCACCCCATGATTTTAGGTAATGACCAACCTTTTTTTGAAGGGTCCTTAGGTAGACTCCAGGTATGTTTGAAGCGAACTTTGTTTAGTTGGTGTTATTATGGAAACAAAGAGGACAACTATCATGAACCTATGTGCCTCCCTTCTTCTTACAGGGCTCCTTAAAAGATATACAAATTGCCCCTTTGAAACATAGCTTTTTCCACCAAAATAAAGGGATACCACCATTGACAAGTTGCAATGTTCAGGTGTTTTTCATGTCAGGATCCCTGTTCTTTGACACATACCAGTTCCAAAGTGAAGGGCCTTTTCCGGAAATCGCTCGCTATCTTCCCGGTTGGATTAGGGGTGAGAACCCAATTTCTTGGTGGCGACCGAAGGCCATCCGGTTCAACTTAGCTTTTTAGATCCTTTTGGTGTTTAGTGGTAGTTTCCGTATTTAACCCACCAAAAGGTATAAACTTTCAGCTGGGCATCAGAAATCGGGCAGCCCAGTTTTGAGATGCTTTGAGGTTCGGGGGCTGCAAACAACCCAAAGTTGTTTGCTGCCAAAAGGGTTGTAAAGTGTGAAGACACGGAAGATACGGAAGCTGGCCAGAGACTCTGGCACACTTTTTTTTTCGAGATCCAGGCGTGTCGCACAGAAGATGTCACGCAGACAAAATCTGCACCAGGAGTTTGCCCAGCAGACTCCAAATTGACTAGGTCTGTCAGCTAGGTGCCCTTTCTCGCTCCAAATTTGGTTGGGAGGGTTCCCCTACTGAAATAGAAAAAAGGGTGCCCTTATTCTAACCTCGCTACTGGAGGACCTAGAAGGGTGTAAAGAAGCATTGAGTTCTGGTTGGGAGTGTGAGGGTGTACGGACGAACCGTCAGACGGCCCAGTAAAAGAAGAAGGCCAGCGACGGGTTGTGTCTCCCAAAGAGCACCCATGGCCTTAGCGGATGGGGGTGCTACGAGTATTCGTTCAAGGGGACCTGGTTTGTTCTTATCATCCGGCTCCTTATAATATTGAGTTCTTCAGTTGGTTCGGTTGGGGTCTCCATTGAACCAAGTGATTTTTGTTTTTCAGCAGGGACCCAGTTCTTGGATGGGAAACCAAAAGAACCAGGAAAGGGAGTTTGCCGAAACCTGGCTTTGAATGGACCAACCACGAGAAAGGGACAGTTGGGAAACAAACAGACCACCCAGCGGGAGGTCTTGGATGGAAGGTGCTTTCTTTCAGGGTAGCGTTTTTGGTTGGTTTCAAAGGGAAGCCAACAGGCACACCACCAAATTCTTTTGGGGGAGGCGGAGTTGCCTGCAAATAAGAGACAACCTAACACCATTTTTTTGGGGGGAAGGGTCCCTAAAGAAAGGCACACACCTACCCGGAGTCTCATTCTGACCCTTTCAAAATGGTTCCACCCCATTGTTTTGGGTAATGACCCCATTTGTTAAGGATCATGGAGACTCCAGGTACATTGGTCGTCGATTTGTCTCGAGTCGAGTCGAGTCGTGTCGAGTCAAGTCCTGAAGGCATGGTCGCCACCATCGGCATGATCGTGCCAGACCTCTTTGGCCGCTTCGGAGGGTATCTGTCTCCGTCCATGAACCTGACGCTTGGATGGGATTTCTTTGGTGCGACGGTTTGTGAGGCCACTCATGGTTTTCGTTTGTGGGCTCGTTTGAAGCCCAAACTTTGTTCAACCAACTTAGTAAGTAGGTTATATATAACTATGGTTCTGAGGGGACTAGCATCAATTTGCCAAGAGCAGGGTTATAACCTACTTTCAAAGATCCAAGCTGGTTGAACATCCACGAAGGAAACCGCCCAGTGTTCCCAGTCAACAAGAAAGGGACTGTTCCCCTTGAAAAGTCTAGCTCGGTGGCAGTCATCAAACGCGAGTTGCAAGAGCAAGAGGGCTGTGTTTTTGCGCTGGGTCGCCAAGCTGTCTTTTTGTTTGTCCCAAGACAAGGACATACCAAGGGCGGACAGGGGCAAGAACGAAGTTCGTTGAAGTGACACCGGGGTTTGGCATAGGGTGTTTCTCAACATGTTGGACCCCCCTTTTGATATTCAAAGGGAAACGAAAAGGAAACCACACATGTTCAGAGCTCGAGCCTTATTTTCAGAACCCCCCCTTGCGCGTTTCACGCCGAGACATTTTTTTTGCGGAAAACGGGGGGGGGGGGGTTCCTTCGACCAAGTTCTTTCCTGAGCCAACGCTGAAGCGAGTTCTGGGCCCTTCCACCAGGCTAGCCCGTAACCACCAGGCGACCCGATGCCTTTTTTTGGTTGGTATCATTGGTCGACCCTCTTTCCTAAAAAGGGATCGGTATTCACCATGGAAAACCGGGTTTTTCAAAAAAAATAGAAACAAAGTGGGTATTTGGAGTAGGGGGTAAAGGATGCTTTCCATTGAGGGAGCCGATGTGTTTGGATTTTCAACCCTTGACTTTTTGTTTCTTTTGGTTTCTGGCTCGTGTTCCCAACCTATGGTAGGGGGATGGGAAACCACCCCAAACATCCAATCCAAACGACCAATTGGAGGGAAGCTGATATATTGCCCTTTCTCACGCTTAGGAGGGTTGAGACACGTGCTATTTGCTGCGTCAGCAGCAGGTTTGCTCTTCCTAAACTGTCTGAGCAAACCTGAGCATTCATTTGCCAATGCCGATATTTTGTCAGGACATGTTCACGTGGCCGCCCACAAAATTCCTAGTAACACAAATATTGACACTGGCTTCAAATGCTACCCTTCCACCAGCTAACATGGAAGTGCACAGACCGCTGTAGAAACACTACTTTCCTCTTGGAAAGGGCCTTGGTACCTGTTTCTCAAGTTTCAATTGGAAGGCAATAATCGCCGAATCTTCGCTCAGATAGGCTCCGGAGTGGATCGGAGGTGTGGGCTAGGGTTCGGGAGAGGTTCCGGATACCACCTACCCCCGTAACCTCCAAAAACCCAACTTTTTCTAGGGTATTTTGTGAACAACCTGGGTTTTCATGGTAAATAGGTCGTCATAGCCTAAAAAAAGTGGGTATTGGGTGTAAGGGGTAGGCTGATTGAGGCTTCCCTTTTTGGAGGGGTTGAAAGGGAAAACCAAAATGATTCGGAAACCCGCCATTTCAAGGGCTTTGCTCGGCAAGGCTACCTGGAGTCTCCATGAGCCTTAAAAATTGGAGTCAGACTACCCAAAATAACGGTCGAATGGAAAATGCTGTGATGCTCCGAGTTCGTACCTTGAGTCTCCTTCTGGCCCTTAAGAATGGTTGGTCATTACCCAAAATCATGGTTGGTCATGGACCCATTTTTATTTCGTGTCAGAGGGAGACTCCAGGTACATGCTA